TTGCCCAAAGACCTTACAATGAGAGCCCCGAATCAGGGCCCCAGGGTATTACCAATCCTTCCGATCCCTAACCCTAAACCCCAAACCCGAAACCCTAAACCCTAAACCCTATAGGGTTTGGATCCCTAAGGGCTCCTCGAGCTTGTGTGTGGCCTCGGGGGAGGAGTCGAAGTTCTGCTCCGCCTGAGACGCTTGGGGTATACAAGGGCACCACTTGGGATTTACACACATCCTAAACCCTAGCTCTGTATCGAAACGCCCTTAACCCTAAAAGCCCTAAAAGCCGAAAAAACCCTGAGCCCAAGGGCCCTTGCCAAGACTTTCCACTGACCCCAAACCCTAAACCCTAACACCCTAAACCATACACTTGAACAAAAGGAACAAGGGCCCACTCTGTGTCCTAGCCGTTGAGGGTTGTGCGTTTGGGGCCCTTGGGGCGTGCAGATGTTCTACCCCCTCAGGTTCCCCCGCCGAAATAACCTTAATTAGGATGAATTCTCCCTGAGTAGCCTCAATTATGGGGGAATCTAGGGGCGTAGCATCGAGGGCGGTAGCAGGGGAAGCCCTGGATCGGGTGTCCGAGCCGACTGCAGAATGCTGCAATTTCTTGGGTTTAGATCAACAGGTTTAGGGTTTTGGGGTTTAGGGTTTTGGGTTTTGGGTTTAGGGTTTAGGGATGGGGGCTGACGTAGGTTCTGCCAAATCAGGGTCCCCATATAGGTATAGCTTTCAGAATGGGACCAACCCTTTTTACACGCAAAAAAGACTTCAGATCTACGACCTCATGTGAAGCAGGGTTTATATTACTGTTTTTGGTGAGTGTACATAAGGTTCCTTTTTAATATTGGTGAGTGTATATACCTGGTGTCCTTTTGGGGGTACAAGAAATATATATATATATATATACCCTACTTCAGTAGGACAGCCTCCACTTACTTGCAGCAAGGGGGGTGGCCATCTTGCAGGCAAGGCTGCCAGGCAAGCCTCCTGAACCGAAGCCCCTAACACGTAACCCCTAAACCTCAAACCTAAACCTATAGACTATAGACTCTAAAATCCTAAACCCTAATCAAACCCCCAAAATGCTAAACCCTAAACAAAAAACTCAGCCCACAAGCCCGGAGTCCCCCAAACCCGGTGGCCCCAAGACATGAAACCCCAAAAACCCTCTAGGGTTTGGGTGCTTAGAGTTTAGGGTACCCTCAAACTCGAAACCCTCCCTAAACCCTAAACCCGAAACCCTAACTCAACCCCAAATCCTCAACCGCCGTTCAATTGCGAGCTGAGGTTCAACGGCATTGATGGATACGATGCCTGCATCCGCCCTCACCCTAAAACCTGAACCCTAAACCCGAACTCTAAACCTTAAACCCAAAAAAACCCTAAACCCGAACTCTAAACCCTATGAACCGTACAATGGGGTTTAGTGCGTATAGGGCGTATTTTCTGCAGAAGGGCTCCCAACAGGACTGTGGAAAGTGAATAGCACATCAAGGAGGAGGGCTGTGCATCAGTGAAACAAGACCAACATCTTTCAATAGACCTCATAACCATCAAGATAGGAACGATGTCTGTAAAAAATGGAGAGTTGCACAGGGCGTATAAGGGGATTATTTAGGTTCCTAAAAGGGTTTTGCTTCATTTTTAAACGCTTAAACACTATTATACATCCCATAAACCCTGAACCTGCTTCTTCTTGCAGACTATAGGGTTTCTAAATTAGGGTCCCTGTTTGGGTCCTATCCTATATCGTACGGCGCCCTCGGAATTTAAGGACCCCCAAACCCTAAACCCTAAACCCTAAACCCTAAACCCTAAACCCAAAACCCAAAACCCTAATTCAAGAGAACTACCGAGATGAACCCCAGGCAGTCTACTTCCATCGGGACGAGACCCTAAAAACTGATTCATAAGATTTGGGATTTTCCCCCCTTATGCCAACAGTCTGTAATAGGGATGCTAATTGGGATACGGGGGATCATCCCAACATAAGTTTTTTTGGCGTGCGGTGCAATGTTTAGGGATGGGCCGCTGGCTGGGTGAAAATACGATGGCCCAGGTTATGAAACCAGCCCCCCCCCCAAAAAAAAAAAAAAAAACTCTTACGGAGAGGCCAGGTTTGGGACTTACTTGGAGTTTCATGGGTAGTTACAAGTAGAGTTGTTCGAGCCATGTAGGTTATGCCTTACTTCTAGCCCTTCTCTATCTACCTGCGAGCCTTCACAAGGCCTTGTAGGATTGAGGATTCGGGGCTTGTGTGCCTTGTTCGTTGCCCAAAGCTTCCATCAAGGCCTCCGGACGCATGGGGAAGGCCTGCACTGCACCGGTGGTGTAGGGTGTTGGGGCGTTTGGAGGGTTTGGGGGCTTTGTGGGGATTCGGGTTCAGGGTTCAGGGTTCAGGGTTCAGGGTTCAGGGTTCAGGGTTCAGAGTTCAGGGTTCAGGGTTTAGGGTGTTCGAGCCCGGGGGGCTTGATGTCTTCCAGGTGCTAGAAGCCCTGAACCTGGGCTTCTTACGGGTTTAGGGCCCCCTTCTACTAAGGGGAATTACAATAGGGGGTACTACAATCCCTATGAAGGACTGCTAGTGTTAGGGCAACTGAGACTGTTAGCTGGAACATCCCAAGTTGAAGGTTTAGGGCCCCGTCCCTGCAACCTCAGGGCCCTTGCTTGGCAACTAGGGTCTCTTGCGGGGGGTGTCCCTCGCAAGGAGTAGTGCTTTTTCTCGACTGGTTGCCGAGCAACGGGGAGGCCACAAACCCACCCCAAACCCTAAACCCTAAACTCTAAACCTTAAACCCTAACCCCTAACCCTATCAAATGGGCCTTGTAAGCAGCGTGGGAGGCTGGCCCCTGCCGTTCCTTGCTACAAGGGTCTCAAGCAGCTTGCACTCAAGGACCCCAAAACCAAAAACCCAAAACCCTAAGCAAGAACACCAAAAGAAAAATAATAATCCATGCATTACCCCAATAACGAAGAACATTTCATATTATTTGGGAGTCTTAAGCAATTAGTAGTAAACCCTAACCCCTAACCCCTAACCCACCCTGAACCCTGAACCCTAAACCCTAACCCCTAACCCCTCCAGGAAACCAAAAGAACAACCTCAAGAGAGAACCGGACTTAGGGGAACCAGGGAGAAGGTAGGGGCCAAAAGAGGAGTACCAGCCTAAGCTCGGGAACCCCAAACCCCAAACGACACCACCCCGAAACCCCGAACAAGAGGCACCTAAGGGAAACCCAACTGGGGACAGGCCTAAGCCCACCACCCCGGCAACCCTGTGACCCTGTTTCATCTTGAGCCAATCGATTTGTGCGTGTCATCCTTGCTGCAGGGGCCATGCCAGCTTTCCAGGCTCCCCCTGAGCTGATGCACAAATGCATCGGATCATCTTTGTGACCTTTGGGTGAGGCACCTGGTCAAAAGCCTCCATTGACCTTCGGGCGAGGCACCTGGTCAAAAGCCTCCATTGAAATCGCCAGTAAAGAATATCGCCATTTCCCAGCCAGTCAACGAATGACGAACTCCGTGACTCCCTTCCAAGTGCGGTCCAGTCGTCGCTTGGCATCCACCTTGTAACGGAAGATATCTCGGATGACCTGGGTCTCACCATCGTTTTGAAAGGTGACATAGGTAACGCGGTCACCAGTCAACTCATCCAACCCGAAGGGTCTGGCAGCATCGCTGGGGTCAAACAGTTGGATTCGTGGTTGTCGATGGACCCGTACATGCCATCCCCCTCGGGTCGTCCAATAATCCTCGGATCCGGCTGGCTCCACCGAACGTGGTGGCCGGACTGGGGGCGCCTTGCGTGGAGGCATAGACGCCGACGAAGAAGCCGTAGGAGCCGATGATGTCCCAGTGGATGGAGTCAGCATCATTCCAGGAGGCATGCTCGAGGTCATCCCAGTGGATGTATTCAACGCCGTCCCAGTGGCCGTGGTTGATTCCATCCCAGTGGATGTTGGAGCGGAAGACGATGGTAGCGAGGACGGGTCTTCCTTGGACCGGGCCTTAATCCTCTGATATCCTGCCAAAAACCATGCTGTTTCCCACAAAAAGAGGATACTGAGCACCATAGCAGTCAGGCCCATCCAAATCGCCGTCTGCCCAAAGTTCATCATGACGACTGTCGCCATCTCATCCATTGTCATTGCTTGCTCCATTGCTGCACCATCCACTGTACTCAACATGGCCAAACAAACCAAAATCTTCAGCATGTTCGTCGCTTGCAGCCTGCTAGCTTGAGGTCGACAGCTTGTTGGCCCTCCCATGTTGATCAGCTTCCTCAGCTCGTCCACTCTACTCGCAGTAAGGGGTTTTGTGCCCAAATCTGCGGTCATGTAAACACCATCAAGGTGATACATCTGCCAAATATCGCATTGTAATCGCTCCTGGAGTGCTGCAGCCTTGATCTTTAACCCTCGGGTCCGCCAAAGGTTGGAGCTTCCTGTGACTAGGGCAACCGTAGCAGCATTATCGCAGTAGATCACAGCCTGAACAGGAACCTGCAAGATTTCCTCCAAAACACATTTGGTTCCCTCACCATAAGCTACCCCTTCCAACACTGCACACAGTTCGCTTTCTGCTGCACTGAGGCTGGTCATAGTTTGCTTGTTGGACGACCAACCAATTAATTGGCCTGCAGCAAAAACATGTACACATTCTTGGGAACGTCCGGCATCGGGAGCGTGGCTGGCATCAGTAAAAACCTCCACCAACGCCTCTTTCCTAGGCACCCTTAACTCCTGATGCTTCCCAAAAGAGTCCGGATTGGCCACATAGCGAAGGCCCTCCTCCTTGGTGGCTTTGAGGAACTTGAAGATTTGAGTTGCTGCTTCCACCGCCAATACAGCATCCCTGGTAATGCACTGAGCCGCCTTGCTGATGGCAAAGATGATATCGGGTCTTGTACGGGTTCCAATCCAATTTAACTCACCAATCAGCTTTTGGGCCAGCTTCACCTGCAGAGGATCCATCTCCTTTTTGTGATGAGGAAGATCATACCTCAATGCAGGAACCTTGGAAGTTCGTAGGCTGCCTTGATGCTCGCTCTCGAATCGTTCCAAGAGTTTCGTCGATATACGCTTCCTGCCGGAGCAAAAATCCACGACGATCATCAGATCCTTCCGATATATCGAATCCGCAAAAACGAACCGATCCTTGGGCCACGTACTCTGGTGTAGAGCATGCCCAGAGCTGCGACAGATCGCTGAAGCACGATTGTAGTACACCATCTTCCATGACTCCCAAAATGTCATCGACATAGATGGAAACCAGGCCGCACAATCTTCCATCCTCGGATAAAATTCTCCACAAATTTTGATCTGTGCGACAAGCCTGCCAGGTGTACCACGCCCCTCCACTCTGAAATCTCCGGCCATTAAGTTGTTGATTTCGAAACACTGCCCAGCTCTTAGGCGAAATGTCCAATCCGTATAATGCACGGGTCACCAACCACTTTTCATACGGAGGGATAATCCCAGCTCGGGACAGGATTTTCGGCGGGTCCAAAATGATGCGTTCTGTTTTGGTTTTGGTCCGCTGAAGCAGCGGGGCATTCAGGAAGGCCCCCTTGATGTCCGTCGTTCCAGCCTTCCAGCCACGACGAGCTCCCACAGCAAGCATGGTACGCAGCACAGTAATGTCGATACCAGCCGCATATACCTCCTCCCGGAGCTCCTGCTTTGTTTTGCTGCTTTCCTCGGCCTGGAGAAAGTTCCCACAAGCGCATGCCCTCGCTTTGCGTTGTCCACTGGCCGCCTTTCTTGTGAACACCATTTTTGCCGGAATCCTCTTCACGATCAGGCTGTCGTCCTCCTCCATGACCCGGATTTGCTGCTCGGTGATTGGCTCTATGGCAGCCTTCTCATGGCGAATCGTGTTATACTCAGCACTCATCGCTGGTGTCCACGCTGGCAGCTCTTGCAGTACCTGGGCTTGCTGAATTGTCTTCGTTTGCAAGAACACCTCCGGAAACACATCAGTAGGCGCGCCCGTACCTCCAACATTTGTTTCCACAGACATGCTTTTCAACAGTCGAAGATCATCTTCCACCTGGTCCGCTTGCTCGTGTATGGCCCGTACCTGCGTGACTTGATCCTTCAAGGTCCAAGTGTCCGGCTCCTCGTCCAAGCTGGATTGATCCCAAAGGTCTTGCTGCAGCTTTTGTTGTTCGTGTAGCCCTAACCTTTTCAATCCCAGCTGCATGCCATCCAGCAGGTCGCTCTGCTCATCAGCTTCAAAACCAATGGGTATCTCGGAGGCCACAACATGTCCCACGACGCCAGTCGCTGCTCCCCCGGTTCCAAGGCTGTTTTTGCTTTGATACAACATTCCCGCCTCCTCCGGAACCAAAAAACTTTCTGCAGCATCCAGCATTTTCAGGGCATCACTGTGTTCTAGACGAAGTTGATAGCGAGGCCGAACATTTCTATAGTCCTCGTACCGGATTTCCGGCGTTCTCGACCGGCCTCGTCCACCTCCACCTGGGCCATCTGGACCATCTCCCGGTGGATCATCATCTTCATCGTCTCCTTGATCCACATCTTCATCATCTTCTGGAGGCTCCTCCTCGTTTTCTTCTGCTTGCTGAGGTTCTTGCAGCTCGTAGAGGACCTCGGACCGAATGACGATGTCGAGGGGTTGCCAGTGGGGTACCTCCTCGTAGCCCACGGTATGATTTACCATCATGGCAAACTGATGAATTTCCAGCTGATTTTCATCGTCATACATGTAGCGGTAGTTGATAATCGTCGCCATGGTGAGATCCGGCCGATCATCTGTTAACGCCCGCCTCCTTGATTCTGGATCATTCTCATCAACCAAATGCCTCTGAATTACAGGATCGATCTGCATTCCCTCCTCAGGCGGATTGACCCGGTCCAATCGGATACTTGGGTCCCTCAGAACTTGATTGGGGTCGATCTCCGGATCTGGTAGCAAACCTGCCCACCTGGAGCGATACTCGTAGGCTGCTGAGGCCGCCTGGTCGACAGTTTCCGTCGTAGGGAGGATGCCATCCGGTGGGAGCACTGGGGACCATTCACCTTCCCAATCGTCCACAAAGCGCTGCAAGGGATGTTGATCCAGGTCGTGAGCATTGGCCTGCTCATGGGTCCATCTCTCCTGAAACAACCGATCCGCAGTTGCAGCATCCAACACAGTGTACTGAATCTGTGTATGCTCCACTTGCCTCGCAGGCCCATCGGCTTCTCCTTCCTCTCTCTGTCGCAGGCGAAGTTTGGCGACCCTTGGCCTAGGGGCAGTCGTGGCGCTGGTGTTCGAGGGCGAGGCTGAACTCAAACTCGATCTCAAATCTTGCTTATACCCCCCCCAGTGCCTGCTATAGCGGGCAATGGGAAACCTGCAGAATACAGGCTGGCCCTTTTTCCAGGCTCCAACCTGGCGTGCACTGCCAAGGAGAAAGCCACCGCCAGCACTCGAGGGCCCTTTTCTTCACCATCTTCCGAAGCGTGCCACTTGCGCGGATCCAATCTCATCGAGTCCCCGCAACGAAGGCGATGAATCTGGCCCGGCTTCCAGAGGCCTGGGCGAACCTCCTTCCAGACCAACTCTTCCGAGCCCAGGCCAGTGAATGGTGGTTCCACTTCAGTCCAGATAGAAATGGAGGGTGAAAGGCATACCAGCAGATTATTCGTCCCACGCTGATTGAAGATATCACGATGCGGCCCCAGCCAATTGTTCACCGAAAGGGTAGACGAGGTCCAGGTGTCAGTTGGGAAAGCCGCCGCAAGGATGGCATTCAAGACCTGAGTTCGCAGCCGATCAGGTTGTTGGGTTGTGGTATTTGTGATCCCAATGACTCCCCCTCGCCTGTAAACCCCATTGGTGATGTAGAGGCCTTCAGAGGTTTGGCGGTCGCTGCGTAACTTTGTCCCGCTCAAGGAATCCTGCAGCCACTCGATTGTTTCTTGCAAGGGTCCAGAGATCCAGGAGTCCGCCTTTTGCCAAGCTTGTACCAGATTGTGTCCAGTTTGCTCCCTGTCATGCCCTGGACAGGACAGTGCTGCTGGTGCTACCGATAATGAGGCCAATCCCTGTTTGCCGCGAGCTCGCTGTCGGGGAGGCACAGCATCCACTTCCACCTCATCCATGGCTGAAATTGCACCAGTATCCGCCATTTGCACATTTTGAAACAGCGTGGTTGTCGTGAAGAAGTCATTTCCCACTTTCACCACATAGCCCCTGGAAACATGTTGTGCTGGGGCAATCACCACGCCTTTGTGGACACGATCATCCCATTGTTCAGCCTTATGCCAGTGTCTTTTGCGGATCCACACCACCGTCCCAAATGGAACCAAAGGCTTGACAGGCATGCCCAGTCGAGCTAAGGCCCTGCGAAGGCGTCGTTCAGCCACCCATCTCCAGGCGCCCGGCCAAAGTCGCTTGGCCGACGTTTCGCCATGCAGCAACGTTCGGGTGGCCCTCTTGCAAATACCAACTGCAGCTTCTGCCCGGCCATTTTGCTTGTAGGATCCGCCCTGTCCACAGGTTTGATAGATTCCTCTATCCTGAAGCCAACGACAGACGGGGGCATTGAGAAACTCGCCTCCTTTGTCAGTATGAAACCTGGCCACATGCATTCCCCACATTTTCAGCTTGCTGTAGACGCGACCTATGGCTCCAACCACAGATGCTGGGGTCTTGTCTCGTAGGCTCTCAGCGAAAGTGAGCTCCACCATCTGTAGCTTGTGCAACTTCAAGTCTTGAGGAGCCACCGAGTCCGCCTGTTCGCGGGCCTTGACCAGATATTGTTTCCAGGCTTCAGCTTGTTCCTGAACGAGGCGCTTCTGAAAGTCCGTGAGGTTCTCCTTGGGCAATTCCTCCTCCAGGACCTCCTCGTTGCACTCCCATTCACCAGGATCCACCTCATCATTCCAGTCCTCCTCGCAGTCCAGCCCATAATCCCTTAGGACGACGGCTTCCTCATCCTTTGCCTGAGGTGGTAGTGGCTCATCCAGTTGGGAACACCGCTCATCATCCAAGTCCGGCTCATAATCCGGTGTGTCCTCGCCCAACAGCGATGTGGTGTCTACACCCACCAACTCTTCATCGTCCAGTAATGGTGCGGCCTCATTGACTGCCTCTGAAGACCTGGTCTTTTCAGCTTGACCACCTCCTTCAGGAATTTCCACCATTGGTTCCGGCTCCAGATCTGCAAAGACCGGAATGGTGTAAACCATCGTGCACATGTACTTTACCCGACCATACTCGTCCAAGCCCACCGTGTAGGGACCACTCAGATCGGCGCTAATCGTGTAGGCTTCACTGATAGGCAGTCTCCGATGTTGGCCGTCTTTGGCTCCACCTGCTAGGCAGTGTAGGCAATCACGACGAAAGGGAATATGGCCTTGGGCAACATGTTGTCGGAACTTTGTATCCAGACGATGGATTGATAGCCCCCCCGGGACCAAGCGCAGCAGCAATTGTAGAACTGCCCACTTCAAACCATCAGGCCACTCATGCCCTTTGGTCATTTCTTGAGGATCCATTCCTTCCTCCCCCGAACCACAGTCCTTGCAGTTCACCATTGAAACCTCATCGAAGTACAACTTGTGCGATACCAGCAGTCCTTGCTGTTTCGTGGTCCGGTGACCCAAATCGCCAAAGTCGACTTCCAGCTTTTCCAACTTGTATTTCACTTGACAATGTTGTACTTCTGGCCAATTCCAGATTTCCGGTTTCGAAGCTTCGGTGTTTTCCCCATTGTTTGGCGCCTTGTGTTCCAACACCAGACCCACCGCCTGGCTGTTGTGGTGAAGCCTCCTTGCTTCCTCTGCGACCATGTACAGCACCAACTGCCTCAGGATCAGGACATTCTCCTTTTCCACAGCCCGCAGGTCGCGAGGACCGAGCTCAGATCTGCCAAGTCGGTCTTGAGGATCATTCCCCCTCCATTGCTTGGGTGCCTCAAACGTCTTGTCTGGAGGTCCGCCCATCACCATTTTGACATGGCCACTTCGGGCCAACTCCAACAAAAAACCATACATTTGGTCGCACAGTAGGTTTTCCGGCAGGTCCACGTCGATAACGTAACACCCATCCATACCCTTGCCATCCAGATAGTGCTGAAAGAAGCCCCGGGTTTTGCCAGCAAACAGGTTCAGTACGATGAACTTCGAAGCCATCATGGCCTTCCTTGTCCTCCGGCTCCAAGGCAAGCAGTCATTTCCTTTGGCATAGGCAGGAACAGTTAGGGCATCGATGACCCCCTCAGGCAGATGCAAAAACTGATCTTGCAACCAGCGCTTCATGGCTATGGGATCCTCAAACACCATAGTCCCTTCCTGCTCCAGGCCACCTCCATCTTCCTTCTGGACTCGCAGCTCCTTCACGAAGGCCATCTTGTCCCGCTTCTTCTGCTCAATATCTTCAATGAGCTTCAAGGCCAGTGCTTCGGGAACTTCTGGGCATCCTGTAGCCAATCGTACTGGAAGCTGGCCAAACTTTGGGACCTTGATGCAGATGCCCCCTTGATCCCAGGTCACTCCTGTACCCAGCTGGATCAACTCGTGCATGGCCACTATGGGGCTCGTGGAGGGATCGTTGGTCAACAGCGTGCCAGCATCGTTAATCCGGAGCTGTGTTGAGCCGGTAGCCAGGGCCACTGTAATCGGGGCAGCACGTTGGAACTCCCGATTGGACTTTGCCTTTCTGAGGCAGGCCGTAGCTCCACCATCCAGCAATCCCCAGCCATCCGTTTCACCTCGTAACGCGGCCAATCTCATCGTCTTGATGAGCTCGGATGCCTCCTGAAGAAAAGCTGCCTGGGCCGTCGAGGATGAAGAGGAAGTTGTAGAGGACGCTGGTTCGTCCGGCTCCACCTTCTTCACGATGGGCTTGGGCTTTCCCTTGTGCTTGCCTCTGCCCTTTGCTTCCGTGGCCTTGTCGTTGGTCTCTTTGGCAGCGACTGTGTCTGCTGAGGTGGTAGGATAAGGGCAGTTGGCCTTCTGGTGGTCTTCTGCAGAACAGTTGTAACACCTCCCCACCATCCTGGCCTTGTCATGCGGAAAGGAGCAGGCATTACCCTTTCGACACCCCTTAGGTGTCATCCAGTTCCAGCATTGCCCATGTTCCCGCTGTCCCTTGTCTTTGCCCTTGCCCTTTCCTTTTGCCTCTGTCTCCATGGCCGCCACCTTAGGTCTTCGTCCTCCAAGCTCAGAGCCAGTAACCATTTCCAGTTCCGCCAACAACATCTGCGCTAAGGACTTGGTAGATGACAGGGTAGGGGCATAGTCAATCTTGTTTTCCAACCGAAAAGTTGACAGCCGGAATAAGCTTTGCCCCGTGATGACCGCAGCGGTAATCTGGTCCAGTGCTTTAACCAGCAGTGTTGGGTCTGGGAGTGCCAGTTTCAGCTCCTGAGCTCTGGTAAGGGCTCGGGACCACTTTCTGATTCCAGCGATGCCGTCCGTCGCCGTGTTCACCGCCGCTGGAGCAGTTAACGTTCGTAGCAAAGCCTGCTTCTCCCCTGCTCCTCCCGGTTGATACTTGGTCAGCAGCCGAAACAGCATAGGAATGGTTTGCACCGCTCGGATGGTTACCATTTCCTCTTTGACATCTGCAGGTAACGCCGCCAACATGAGCACCGCGCCTCGTTGTTCAGTTCGTGACCACCTGGAGTGCTCAAACAGTGCTGTCAGCCCCATCACCTTGTCTCGGAGCTCCAACCTCTTCAGCGGCGAGGCGGCCAGCCAATCATCGTAATAGTTGTAGGCCGTGCCTGTAACCTGGTCCCACCACTCTGCTGCCGTGGCTGAAATTCCCGCCATCATCGGTTTGACCACCGTCAGCCAGTCTCCAAGAATCATTCCAGCATCCTCGGTGTTGCCCTTGGAGATCTCCAGCTTAGGCAGATCCTGAATACTTCGGGCGGTCTCCTCCGAAGGCATCAAGGCCGCTGAATCTTCAGACTTTAAGGCCCTTGGTCTAGCCCTCATCTCCGGAGGTAGTGGTGGCGGTGGCGGTACCACCTCCCAAACTGCCGGTCCCATGGCCTGCCACGATGTATCCTCTCCAGCTGTTACACCAGGAACCTTGGGTATAGCCATCGAAGGCCCCGAAGGAACACGTGTGCCACCAGGTGTATGGTGGCTGCTGGGAAGTGGCGGTGGTGGAGGAGGCGTTGCTTCCGCCAAGGGTGCAGTCTCCCCAGCCCTCGCAGCTTCTCTGGCCAGAACCTGTTGCAATTGCATCTGTAGCTGTTGTACTTGAACTCGCAACGCTACCAACTCACGATCCTTTTCATCCAAAGAAACATTGGCCACACTTGCAGGCTGTCCCAAACCAGGAGGCGTAGCAATCGTGTATCGCTCCGGTCCTTCTGTCGCCACGACCGGGGTACGAGTTCCAGTGGATGAGACCTAGCCGACCGCATCGAATCGGACGACCTAGGTTGGAGATTCCCCAAAGCAGCCTGGGCCTGAGAACCCGCAGAGTCCTGTCGTTCCAGATTTAAACCAGCAAACATTCTTGCTAAAGCCGCTTGATCCACTGCTCCCAATGCCGACGACTGAGAAGATTGTCTATCCTGCTCCAACACATCCAACCTCGAAGTTAAAGGCTGCAGCAAATCTCCCAGCATCTGTCTCATCGGGCCCATCCAATCTGTTTGTGCAGGGGCTGGTTCAGGCCGATGTAGCGGTTGTCCCAAAGCTCGAATCTGCTCGTAGGTGTTAAACGCCAGTCCAGGATTGTTGCCTTGCACTGCAGCGTTATTTGGAGTCCAGTGTGTCATCTGCCCAGTCAAGTGTTGCTCGCCTGTTCCACTGTCAAAATGACCTCCAGGAAACGGCACGTTGGTAAAACCAATATGGGCTGATGGACCAGGACCACTGACCGATTGTGCCACCGCTGTACCAGGAACTGTTGATGGCCCGGTACTTTGCTGAAAAACCTCTGTGCTTGTACTTGTAGCTGCCATGATACCTTCTGGCGCCGGCAGCACACTTCCACTAGCTGATGGACCAGGACCACTGACCGATTGTGCAACCGCTGTATCAGGAACTGTTGAGGGCCCATCACCCAAACCTGTGGAAATCACTGCACCAGCTGTTGTACCAGGAGCAACTGTCGTAAGGGTATCACCATTCCCGTCCACCTGAGAAGATGATATTGTAGGTCCAGAGACTGTACCAGACCCATTGTCCTCCAATGTAGCCGAAGTGGCAACGCCTGTACCATTGCCTCCACCAGCTGCATCAGTAACATTGGCCCCAAACGTCAGACCATCCAACGCCTGAGCAAAAAGCTCATCCACAGAATCCCCACCATGCTCTCCCATCGGAGCTTCACCCGTCTCTGACGAGGTATCCAACTGAAAAGACGCAGGATCCATGGATCTTTCCTAAAGCCCTGAACGAACTAACCACACAGAACCACGACACTTGGGCTCATAACCCCAGGAAACCAAAAGAACAACCTCAAGAGAGAACCGGACTTAGGGGAACCAGGGAGAAGGTAGGGGCCAAAAGAGGAGTACCAGCCTAAGCTCGGGAACCCCAAACCCCAAACGACACCACCCCGAAACCCCGAACAAGAGGCACCTAAGGGAAACCCAACTGGGGACAGGCCTAAGCCCACCACCCCGGCAACCCTGTGACCCTGTTTCATCTTGAGCCAATCGATTTGTGCGTGTCATCCTTGCTGCAGGGGCCATGCCAGCTTTCCAGGACCCCTAACCCACCCTGAACCCTGAACCCTGAACCCTGAACCCTGAACCCTGAACCCTGAACCCTGAACCCTAAACCCTGAACCCTAAACCCTAAACCCTAAACCCTAAACCCTAAACCAAACCTTAAACCCAAAACGGCTGGCAAGATCTCAAAGGAGCCTCTAGCTCTGGGTCCTTTCAGGGTTTCGGGTTTAGGGTTTAGGGTCTAGGGTCTAGGGTTTAGGGTTTAGGGTTTAGGGTACCCTAAACCCTAAAAACTAAAACCATAAACCCTAAACCCTAAACCCTAAACCCATTCAGGACCAGAACTGCGCTTATAAGCCCCCCCCCCCCCCCCTCCCCCAAGTCCTCTAAGTAGGTTACATGAAAAGTAGACTTATAATATAACCCCTAAGCAGGCTATGTGATAAGTAGGCTTTATTATAAGTAGGTCATATAAGTAGACTTATAGTTGGGGTGATAAAAGTATCCATGAACCTCCAAGCACTTCCAGGGACTCACGATTATGCACTGAAGGGCTCATGTCACTAACTTACTTCTTCGGCCCTGAAAGCATAGGGTTTTACATCATACGCTGCGAGGACTTGGGGCCGGTAGAGATTGAAAGAGAATGGGTTTAGGGTTTAGGGTTTAGGGCTTAGGGCTTAGGGCTTAGGGTTTAGGAGAAGGAGTGAAGGTTTGTACAGCCTCAGTACCAATGTGATGGTGCACCTGCTGTGGGAGTTCTGGTGGCCCCTAAGCCCTAGACCCAAAACCCCAAACCACATGCACAATCAGAGGCTACACCGGGTCTGGGGGCACGGCAGCGGCACTTGGCAGCACTAGCTGCGCGCCCAGTGCACCCACCAGCGCCCAAAAGGTAAAACGCCAGCCGATTTCAACACGATCATCATCACCATCAGCCTCATCATCCCCCCCAACAAGGGTACCAAACCCTAAACCCCAGCCCTAAACCCTAGCCCTAAACCCCAGCCCTAAACCCTAGCCCTAAACCCTAGAACTGTAACGACGTCGGGCGACTCGCATCTTCATCTTCTCAGTGAAGATGTGCAACTCCTCGGCAAGCCAGGGGTCCCTAGACCCGAAACCGTCTCTCTACAGCTTCTAGGGCTCAAGGGGCCCCAAACCCTAAACCCTGAATCCCAAACCCTAAACCCTAAACCCTAAACCCTAAACTCTAAACCCTAAACCCTAAACTCTGGACCCTAAACCTTTCCCCAAAGGGTACAGGGCCAGGGAGCGTTCTCAGGGCCCTTAAGAGGTTGACAGGGTCATAGGAATCCCCGGAACACAGCGCAAAGGCAGGCACAGCGCCATCTTCCGCAGGGGGGGACTGTGATTATCCCTTACCTTCTTCAACGGGTTCTGAAGTATGGGCCCTTGGGTTCTATAAGGTATATAAGAGGTATGTAAGGGGTCCCTTTTTACGGGCCCGTTGTAGATCATGAAACTATCCAAAGCACCTGCATTGTTGTAAACACCTCAAGCTATAGTGCCTGATTGCTCCGTACTTTTATTGGTGTAGTATACTATAACCCCTGCGGACTTTTATTGGTGCTATAGTATACTATAGTATGCTATTGCTATAACCCCTATACAGCAAACCCTAAACCCGAAACCCTAAACCCGAAACCCTTGGGCTGTCAAAGGGACCAGTTGGCATGGGGCCCGCTGCATCCGCTGGCTGGCCAGCCCTGCGCGGCTAGGGTTTAGGGTTTAGGGTTTGGTTGAGGGTTTCACGGTTTAGGGTTTAGGGTTCAGGGCTTAGGGATTAGGGTCTAGGGGGACAGGTTGTAGGGTCCAAGGTTTAGGAGTCCTAGGACTGTTGGGAGGCTGGCACGGGACGAAACAGGTACCCTATCTGAAAGGTTTATTTCGAGGGAAAGAAGGTCCCTAATTCTAGGTTATTGGGTGACTCGGCCCGTCCAGTCCCTTGACTGGTAGAATCTTGCTAGAAAGGAGAATCACCGTGCTTGAGCCGGAGTTTTAGGGTTTGGGGCAAACCTGCAAGACCTAATCCCCCCTTAAACCCAATTCCTGGAAACCACCAAAGCCCTCAACCCCACCTAAGAACCCAAAACCTACTTTTATTTTTGTAGGCTCTGATTATAATACCCCTTCTAGGATTCTTAGATAGACAGCAAAATTCTTTTTGGGTTCTTCAGGCAGTCCCTAAACCCCTATGGCCCTATCAGTCTTCAAACGCAAAAAGGCCCCGCACCAGAGCCCAAATCCTAGCAGATTTTTTGGGGGTGGAGAACTCAAAGAACCTCAGAAGGCAGACACCTCTTAACCCTAAACTTTGGCCTTAAACCCTAAGCGCTAGGAGGCTGCGCCTCCCCCGAGCGCGGAGGCGTAGAAGTCCGTGACCTCTGGCAGAAGCTGCGAGTTTGTGGGCTTTTCCTGTCACCATCAACCCCAAACCCCAAACCCTGAACCCTAAACCCTGTCTTTACCCTAAACCCCAAACCCTGTAAACTCTATAAACCCTCAACCCTATCGACCCTATCAACCCTGAATGGCTGGACCTGGAGGATGGGTTGAACAGGTGAGAGGGTGACAACCACGGAGGTTACAAGTTGTGCCCCTGAGCCCCAGGGCTTAAAATGATAGGTTGAGGGTTTAGGGTCCTTGTCAACCCCAATCCAGAAAAACCCAAAACCCTGAACCAGAAAAGTCTAAGACCCTTTCCGGGTGGTGCCACGGGCACGGGCCTAGGGTTGTCCCTCTGCAAACCTAGCGCAGTTCGGGTACTCCGAGCTCGGCTAAAATTAGCCATTTTCTCCAAACCCTAAACCCTAAACCCTAAACCCTAAACCCCAAACCCTAAACCTCAAACCCCACCCCAAGCCTCCCCTGAAACTGTAAGCACACATCCCCAAACCCTCAAAGCGACCAACCCCTGACTCCAGGGTTTTACCTTGGACCCTTAAGGTTGTACCCTTGGGTTTTGGGGACCCTTGCTAAGGATTCTTAAGGTAGTATAAGGGCCAGATTAAGAGTATCTCAAGGGGAACCTTTAGGGGTACATGCTTAGGGGTACGAGCCTCAAGCCCTTGACTGACACCGAAACTCGAATTCAAGCCCAAACCCTAAAACCTAAACCCTAAACCCTAAACCCTCAGCCAGGGTTGAGGGCTGACTCAGCCCTCAACCCTAAACCCTACACCCTGGTCCCGCGACGCTTCTCTGAGGCGCCCCGCCAACGTCAAATGGATGGCCTTGCCAGAAAGGAGCTTGGGTTTAGGGGTTGGATCCTAAAAATAGGGGTTGTGCCTAATTAAACCCTAAACCCTATAGAAACCCTATATAATCCCTATAAACCCTGGTTTAGGGGTTGGATCCTCAAAATTAGAGGTGGGGCCTCAACCCTAAACCCTAAAGACACCCTATAGAAACCCTAAATAATCCCTATAAACCTACAAACCCTATAAACCCTGTAAACCCCACAAACCCTAAACCCTAAACCCTAAACCCTAAACCGTTGCTGTAGTATCCCACTTCAGAAGATCTCAAAGAAGGGACCTCCCCCGACGAATTGGCATCCCAGGTCCTTGAGGCTTTCTCGGGCCCAGAGCTTCTAAGACTCACGACGTACCCAACCTTGGGGGCCAAGTGAACCTTGTAATTGGGCGCCATCTAGCCTACATATGCTATTAGAAATCCCTACTTGAAGGTTCATGGGACTTAATAACCACTTATAACTGGGCTCATAAGCCTACTTATAGATGGGATAACCGGCCCTTTAGGGGCATTACAAGTAGGGTTATAAGTACAGTTATCATTGGTTAGTCAGTACCATGAACCTCCAAGTATGGACCACACACCGTTTTGGGGTTCATGTAGTCCCCAAGTCGAACTTCAGTTTGGTGCAGGACCCTGTACATGCCAGGAAAATGCGAAAGGCTTCCCATGGACCGCAAGTACGAGGACACCTTCCACCGGACCCCTGAAAACTGTTGGGAGTAGAAGCTTCACGAAACCCTAAACCCTAAACTTTAAACCCTAAACCCTAAACCCGAAACAAATTTCGGGTCCCATGTTTCGGGTATGGCCACCGAACAAAAAGAAAACTCGCCCAAAGAAAAGCACGGGTTGAACGCTCAACCCGTCTCGCCAAATCCCGGACACCAGAACCCAAACCCTAGACCCGAGACCCTGAACCATGAATCCTAAACCCTAAACCCTAAACCCTAAACCCTGAACCCTGAACCCTGAACCCTAAACCCTGAACCCTAAACCCTAAACCCTAAACCCTAAACCCTAAACCCTGAACCCTGAACCCTAAACCCTAAACCCTAAACCCTAAACCCCAAGCCCGAGGGTGCCTGGTATCCAGACTTCTTGGGCTTGGAGACGTAGTTCTTGAAGCTCTTCGGGGCCACGGTCCAGCCATTCTCGACATCTCGGCTTGTGGAGCTTCAATGAGGTCGGGTTTAGGGTTTAGGGTTTAGGGTTTAGTGTTTAGGGTTTAGGGTTTAGGGTTAGGGTTTAGGGTTTAGGGTCTAGGGTTTAGGGTTTAGGGGGATCCTACATGGGCGCCCTCCCTTTTGCTTTTCAAAGCCAGAAATACTCAAAAGATGCTAACCTAAGTTCGGCTGGCAAGGCCGCGCTCTGTTCAAATCAACGCCTGCTTTTCGGGCTTAGGGTTTAGGGTTTTGGGG